ATTACATATTTAATTTCAAATACTGCTCAAATTCTTTATTATGCAACTATTACCTTAATAGCTAAAATATTTCAAGTCAATGAGCAACATACATATTTTGAATTTAGAAATTAAATACAACAAATCTACATTTTAAGTAAGTGTTAACGACTGACCCATTGTGCACTCAAAATGCTTAACACAATAAAGATATTCCATGAACATGGTGGAGATGAATCTATGCGATCATCATTCTGAATAGCTTCTGGTTAGGTTTTAAAGAAATCAGCAGTGTGTATTAGGTTGAAAATCTGACTGAAAAAGAGTGGAATATAGTCAAAAATAATAATGTTTGACTGATATATAAATGCAGCGTCTCGACATACATAAAAAATTAGTAATAAATTTAAATAAATAATTGCCTGGCAATATTAGATCATACCCAGAGCGCTGCCCAAACAGACAAATCTCAGAGAACACTCAAACGAAATAAACTCAACTCGAAATGAAAACGAAAATTGAACACGAATATCAAAAGTGTAAACGAAAAAGTCACTCAAGAGCAGCAGATCCGACCGAACCGACCGGCCTGCCAACGCAGAGACACCCACACAAGCCGAGTGATTTGAGTGGGTGAGTGGGTGAGTGCGAGTGTGGAACGAGTGGAGAGTACCAAGAACTGGTTTGCTGTTGCTCAGCGGGATTTGGGCTTCAATGACTCTGTGTTGGCGTTGGCGAGCAGCGATCTCGACGGTGGCAGTGGGCTTAGCGGTTTGTTGGTCGGCTGTGGAGCTGGCTCGCTTCATCTCGTAGTCGTATCTGTAAGATACAAACGTAAAGTGCTGCTTTTTAATGCCGCATTTCATTCATTGATCGTTTCAATAGCACGCCGCACGCTCAGCGCATCAGACAAGTGCCGGTCCCGGGTTCCCGTAGCATGTTCTGTGTGGGCATCCGTATCAGCCACAACAACAACAACAACAACAAATACAACAATAACAACAACAACTGAAGCCCGTCTCAGGCCCAGTAAGCCAATTCAGACGTCGCGTTGGCTTGGCTAACGGAGTCAGAGCCAAGTGCTGCCCAGCATAGACGCACACAACTGAGTGGACGACATTGACGGGTGACAACGACGACGACGACAATCGCTGCTGCTTAGTGCATAACGAACAGGCGCAGCAAGCGGACGCAGCACGTCGAATACGGAGACGCAGACGCACCTTTCTCCAAGCAGCAGCAACGGCGGCGGGCCGTGTATTTTTGTGCGCCATCTCGGGTTATTGGATACAGATACATAGATACACAGCCGCAGCGCGCGTACTCACGGATATTTTTAGCAGCCGGCCGCGCGCGCACACACACACACAAACAATCGCGCGCACACACATCCATACACAGTTGCAGGCACGCTGCTGACACACGCGGCTCGCACGTTTTTGGAAAAACTGTTCTTCGAGGCTTTTCCTACATACAGTTGCAGCGCGTATCCAACTGATATTCTTCGAAGTCTGCGCAAACAAAAATAAAAAACTAACAACAAACTAAAGATATAATTTGTCTCAAAATATAAGCAACATAAAACGAGTCTTGCTAGGCAAGTTTGAGGAAATAAAAAGAATTTATTCGGAAGAAAAAACAAAAACCAAAACAAAATCACTTTTATTGTGTTAATCTGCCAAAATGTATGTATGAGGCAAGCGTTAATTTAAAATAAAGTCACAAAACAAAAAAAAAAAAACAAAAAAAAAAACAAGCCGACAGAAAAATGCAAAACAAAATTGTATGACTAATTAGCTGATGCTGTGGAATTTAAATTGAGTCGAATATGTTTTCGCATTCTCACAATGTCTGTGGGTTAACTTTAATGAAGCTAAAATTCAAATAAAATAAAAACAAATACCATTAAAAGTGTTAAAAAGTGTTGAAGTGTTCTCAGTTCCAAACTTAAAATATATTTTCAAAAAACTCAAAGCTACAACAAAATCAACAGCTAACAGCGGCAGCCGAGCAGCTCACACAATTTTTGGATTTATGAAATCAAAAAGGTAAATAAATATGTACATATCTCATATGTTGTTAGTGTTGTTTTCGTTGTTGTATCAATAAAAATAGACAAGACATGAAATAAGAAGCAGGCAGCAACTGGGGGGAGCTGCCCGGAGAGGCGACCCCGGGGCTTGCCGCAGCAGCAAGCGACGCATTTATTTGCCCAAGGTGTTGAAAAGTTTTGGTCCGTTGAGGTTGGGCTGGGGCCAGGCAACTTGTCAACAGCTTTAAATGTACCACCCCCTCCTCTGGGCCCAAGCAGACCTCTTGTTTTGCGTGCCCTTCATGAACTTTATTGGGTTAACATGGCGCAAGGCGAAAACTTCCACTCAATTGAATACAATTTTGGCAAAGAATTGCCCAAAGACAATAAATTTCAATTAATGCATCAGCAGCTGTGACTCAAGGCATATCGATTTTTGTTGTACTATTTTAAGCATTATTTACTGCACATCACCTCTGCCAATTGGTCTGATCAATCATTATTTGAAAATAGAAATTTATTCGATTTGCCGCTGCTCATATTCAGTTTCTTATGGCTTATTAATGACTTTTACTCGATTTTCTTCGGTTTGTAAACAAACATTCAGGCATTTTTATGAACACATATACCATAGAGATAAACAGATAACAGATGAAGATTTTCATGATGAGAAAATGCATGGTTGGTAAACACCTCAAATTATTTATATGAATCGATTTATTGATGAACATTTCATTTATCACAAATATTTGTATGTATTTTTATAATTTATATAAAACTTGCATTCAAGAAAAATGCTCTAAATCAATCTTAACACGAATTTAACTAAGCACATAATTAAGCGAATTAATGCATATATTTAAAAATCATGAGTATTGTTTCAATTATTATTAGTTATTCGTAAAGCAGGCCTATCTTAGGCATGCGAAGATTTGATACCCTTGCAGACCCAACCTTTTCATAATAGTCATAGTACTTTGCCCGTATCTAAGAAGGATAGGAAGAATAGGTAATGGCGAAAATGTTTTCTATACAAAAACCTACTTTTTGATCGTTCCTATGGCAGCTGTATGATATAGTGGTCCGATCTAAATAGGATTTCGCATAGAAGCATAGTAAAACTAATAAATGATGAATTCGGTCAAGATATCATGAAAAACAACAACATTATTCATACATACTTTATGGGGTCGGAGATGTCTTTTTCTATGCCTTATACATTTCACGACAGAATTATAGTTCCGTCTGCAAGGTTATTAAAAAAAATACCTGGATAAACAGACCCTGGCACCATGACCCAATTATGTGTTCGACATGGGAACAGCTGTTGTTATCTTTACCTCGGCGAAAAAACAAATGGAAATTGGTCAAAGCAAATGAAACCAAATCTGTCAAAAATCGTACAAATAAAAAAAATTAATTGGTAATACAAAAGCACACAGTACCACAAGAGGGAGAGAGAGAGGTAGAGACAGAGAGGCGGAGAGACATTGCTATCTCGTATATGAACACAAGCATATCACACATACGCAATGTGTGCCAATTTTAATAAACAAACTCAACTTAAATGGAAAATCAAACAAATTCAAGCGAAGCATGCCAACAAAAAAAAACAACATAGAAATGGCAACAAGCCACCCAGCACAACAACAACAAAAGCCATAAAACAAAAATCGAAAGATGCAAAAAACAGCAAAGAAAACAAAGATTTAAAATCAGAAGCCCGCCGCAAGCAGACTAAAAATAAAATCAGCCCAACGGCAGCGCACACGAGGTGCAAATGGAAGCAGGGACGCAGGCAGAGTGCTGAAGGGAAACAATAAAAGCGGCCACATGCAACTGGCAACAGCACGAGACAGCAACAACAACTACATCAACAACAACAACAACGACAGTCGCATTAAGTCCAAGAAGAAGCAGCAGATTTCTGATGCTTTCCACAAAAAGCAAATAAGGAATCAGAAATCGAAAAAAAGAAAAGAGAAGAAACTTGCATACAATAAAAACTAATTTTAGAGCTGGGGCAAAAAAAAAAAATAAAAAAAATCGGACTCAGTCAGACTTTTCACAGACTTGCACAATGCGAGGGCTGTTACTAACATTAGGCTAAATATCAAATCCAAATAAATTATAAATTATTTCCCATTATTAAAAGAAAAATATAGTCGGTCTATAAAAAACTTGTTTCTGGAAAGAAGCCTGATGTCGAGTTAATAATATAAGATTATTATTTAAGTTTTATATCTTAACTTCAAAATATAAATTATTCAATATATTAATGCATGGAAACTTGTGAAAACAATATATTGCAGACTTATTCCATTCTATTATATGTATTTAAAATCTATAAAAAAAAAATGTTTCTAAGCACAAAGATCCAAGAAACTCTCTGCCTCGTCTCATTGCTCTTTGCTTGTCCAGCCGATTAATAATTACAGTTTTTCTCGCATATTTACTGCATTTTTTCCAACAGACGCTTCATTTTCCATCCAACCACTACCGACTGCCCTCTTTCTCACAGCTCCGCTCCCACATACCCCGCATCCAAACTTTTGTGGCGTGCAGACAAGCGTGCAGAAAAAAAGTTCTAAATTTAATGGCTACACCTAAAAATGCAGAGACTGTAACCGGGGCTCGCGGGTGCTCGCCAGCATTTTCAAGAGCACTTTGAATAGACTCCCTGAAACGACAAGAAAAAACCTCGAATTGTAACTCGCCCTGTGCCGATTGTGCCCCTTCACAACTCAACGCACGCACAGCGCGTCTTTTTTTGACCTTGTTGTTGTTGCACGGGAATGTTAGGCCTTGTAAGCCGGTCAAAACAGAATTTAATTTGAAAAATGATTGCTGAAGGTATTTATAGAATGTAGGTAGCTTGTGCACACACATACGGCGGTAACTGTGCCATGGCAGGCGCGCAGGCGCAGCAAGCGAAAGCTCCTAGGGATCTGGGCTTCTGTTGTGCCCATTTGAAAACTTGAATTTTAATTCAGTTTTCCAAACAACTCGAAACTCGACTCATCAACAAATTCTAAATTTTTGTTTGCCAGCTGTGCGCCCCGCTCCTTGGCAGATTTTTAAGAATGGCTTCGCCACAGCAAGAATTCCCGGAAGCCTATGAGATCTGTAAGCAGTTCACGCTAACCGAAGACCAGATGTTCGAGGTTGTTGATCGTCTGACCAAAGAAATTGAAATGGGCCTACGGAAAGAAACAAATTTACGTTCCACGGTGAAATGCTATATTACGTACGTACAGGATGTACCCTCAGGCAAGGAGCGGGGCAAGTATCTAGCCCTGGATCTGGGGGGTTCGAATTTTCGTGTTTTATTGGTTGATCTTAAAAGCCAAACAGATGTTGATATTCAGTCTAAGAGCTTTGTCCTGGGCAAGAATCTACTGACTGGCTCGGGTAAAAGACTTTTTGATTATATCGCTGAGTGCCTGGCCGAATTTTGCATAGAGCAAAGAATTGCATGGGATAATCTGCCATTGGGCTTTACATTTTCGTTTCCATGCAAACAGACGGCCATTAACAAGGGCGTCTTGGTCAACTGGTCAAAGGGCTTTAAATGCCCAGACGTTGTTGGCCATAATGTTGTCCAAATGCTGCAACAGGCAATTGATAGCCGTCTCGATCTCAGAGTTAGGGTAGTTGCCATACTAAGCGATACGACGGGAACCCTGATGGCTTGCGCCCAAAGGCAACCCAACTGCCGCATTGGTCTGATTGTGGGCAATGTCTGCAATGCCTGCTATATAGAGAAAACGGAAAATACCGAAATGTTTCAGAGATATCAGACTAGCCGTAAGCGGAACATGATTGTCAACTGTGAGTGGGGATCCTTTGGAGACAATGGCGTTTTGGACTTCATACGCACATCCTACGATAAATCTATGGACCAGCTAACGCCCGATCCAATGATGCAAACCTTTGACAAGTGCATCTCTGGCGTGTATCTAGGCGAAATAGTGCGTCAAATCGTACTGGATCTAATGAAGAAAAATGTCATTTTCAAGGGTCTCATGTCGCAGGCCATCCAGACGGAATGGAAATTCGAGTCTCGCTTTATAGCTGAGATTGAGTCAGAGCCCTTTGGCCAGTACCGCAGTACCGCCATGGTCCTGAATAGCCTGGGGATCCGAACATGCAACGAGAAGGATCTCGCCTGTCTGCGGTATATCTGTGAGTCGGTAACAAGGCGTTCAGCTCAGCTCGTGGCCTGCGGGCTCGTTTGTCTGATCAGAAAGATGAATGTCTGCAAGTCGTCAGTAGGTATTGATGGTGGAATGTATCGCTATCATCCGAATTACCATAGGCTCCTAATTGAGAACATGAACATTTTGCTTAAGTGCTCAGCTGAATACGAACTAGTTCTATCCGAGGATGGCTCAGGGCGCGGTGCGGCTCTAGTAGCTGCCATCTACTCATGCAAATGAATTGCAATTCTCGACATCAATTACGTTAAGAATCCTTACAGCGGCTAATGATCGTAGAAACGGGTTAATCAATATCGCAATGATTGCCTGCGCCCACAGGCCATCCAAGTGCCGCATTAGCCTGAGTGTGGGCAATGCCTGCTATATGAAGAAAACAGAGAACACCAAAATGATACAGAGGTATCCTGTCACAGGCCATTCAGACAGAGTTGAAGTTCGAGTCTCGCAGAGATTGATTCAAGCCCGCTTGGTCAATACCGCAATATTGCCATGGTCCTGAATAACCTGCGATACATGTGCGAGACAGTAACAACGCGTTCCGCGCACCTCGTGGCCGGCGGGCTCGTCTGTCTGATCAGAAAGATGAATGTCTGCAACTTGGCAGTGGGTATTGATGGTGGAATGTATATACGTTATCAACCGAATAACCATAAGCTGCTTATTGACAATATGGAAATGTTGAAGTGATGATGAAATGCTTAAATTTGTTAAGGATCCTAACAGCGATTAAGGATCGTAAAATTTATCCAATTTCAGATCTGTCACTTTATTTGAAAAATGTTCAACAAGTATTGCCAATATGATGCATTCCACTTGATTTTCTGAAATCGCCAGTTAATATTTTTTTTTTTTTTTTGACAAAATATAAAAAATAAATTATCATTAAAATAATCATACTATTTTTTTCACACTGTTAGAACTTAACCTGGGGAGTCCATGGTAATCGCTCAGGACTTATAGCTTCACTTAAGTTGAATTATTGTTTTGGAAATCTAATGAACGAATTTAACTTATTACTATGTCATTTCAGATTAAAGCAGTATTTGTTTTATGTTAGACAATTAGCCAGTCGATATTCAATGTGCTCCATTTTTAATTAACAATTCCTTTAAAACCATTTTTCGATTTTCTTATATATTTGGCTTAGTTTACCCAAGCGAACGCTTCATATCCATTTCGTGCCAACTTCCAGCCCCCAGCCACACTCTGTGGCATGCAGACATGCGTGCAAAAAACAGTTCCGAATGCATTGACTACCCCCTGAAAATGCAGCTATTACAAGTGGGGGACAGGCAGAGGTCCGCTGGAGGGCAGTTTCAAGTGCACTTTAGACAGACAACTGCTCCCTGCAGCGCCCAAAAAAAAACAAAAACCAAAAAAAAAGAAAAAATACACTCACAGAAAACCGAACGTAGAACAATTTTATAGCCCCGCCCTGTCCCTTTATGGCTGGGTGCACGCACGGCGCGCCTTTTGTCTAGTTTACTGTTGCTGCATGGGAAATTTAGGCCGGGTGAGCGGGAAAAGGGCGAAATGTTGGTCGTGTATATTTGTTGTCTGCGCATTTCAATTGGTTTCGCATTGTGCCAGCGCGTAATTGAAAACTTAAGCAGCAACCGTAAAGCGACGCGCGCTTCCAATTTGGCAATCAACAAGCGAGAAAGTACAAAAGCCAGCGCCGCATCCTGTGGAGCTGCCTACACATCCTGTGGCCGGCCACGCCCACGCAGGCCACATTTAGCAGTGTGTTGAAGAACATTCATTAGCCGCGAGTATCTTTAATCGCATGCAATTTGTACAGCCAACACACGGAACTTGCTAATTTTCACGTCGTTTTGGCGCCAAAAGCAACCGCATGAAACGGCCGAGCAAACGCTTCTCGGCAGAAGGTTGTCAGGTTGTCCGGTTAGGTTGAAGGGGGGGGGTCAGCCGCGAAGGTGCAGTGCTCTTAATTGCAGCTTGTTTCTTGCATGTCGCGTAAACTTTTTGTGCACCTACTTACAATTACACGCCCCTCATGACCTATAGCTGTAGGGTATATCAACTTTATAAGCTCGCAGAATGCCTTTTACCAAGTGCGGCAGGACGAGAGTTTTTAAGAATATATATATAAAAAAAAGCATAAATCAGAGATATATGCAACTATATGTTTCCATCTCTCATGAGAATCCAGCCTGTACTCTCACTTAAATGTATTTTATTCAGGTGTAAAAGGTTTGGAAAATATTCTGCTATTCTCAAACTTAATGAGCAATATCTTTTAATATTACTCAGTGCTTTTCAATATCTCGACAATATTTACTTTATAATTAATTAACTATAATTAAAACTCATTTGTGGGCCGCACCTCAGCGAATCCCCGTTAATTGGGCAGGCATTCTTTTACATCTGTGTGCTATATATCTTAGTTTTGATTAAATATTTAGTTAAATGTTCAATAACCACATTATTTTTCTATTCCATTGTTATTTCTTTGGGCAATTTTGCTAAAGATCATTCAACAGTCGTTGGCTTTTCTTTATTGGGCCAGGTTTCCATGCAACGAACGTCGCGTGGCAAAAATTAATTGCCATGTAAATCGCGAGGGCAGCAAACAGAAATCAAAGCAGACACGAACAGAGCAAAGTGAATTCTTTTCAGAACGTGCTGAAAGTGGCGAACTTTGAGGCAATGTTGCAACTTAAACACGAAGATTACATAGGAAGCGAGTAGTTAGGGCATTAGCATTAGCATTAGTTGGTTGGCAATTCGTCCGATATATTAACTTAGAACAGATCTCTCACACAGCCTAGTCTGGGTGTTATTGCGCGATTAACGGTAAATGTTGAAAAGTGCCTTGGCTGTGCGAGAGACAGCAATCAATAAACAACAACAAAAACAACTTGTTTTAAGCCACGAATCTCTTGGAATGGTCAAAGCTATGCAACAAGTGCCAGCAACTGGGCAAGTCGATTCCAACTGAGACTGGGCCGCGCCGGTTAAGACTCAGTACAAGAATCTGCTGCCAATTTTGGCAATCTGCACTAAATTGTCCATTTATGTGAACCTGACATGGACACACGATCTCTCTCTCTCTCTCTCTCTCTCTCTCTCTCTCTCGCTCTCTCTTTCCGTTGAGACGTTGTTTGCAATCAATCTCCGCAGATTTACACCTCTCCACGGCCTGAGAGCTGGCTATTTATGAGGCCAAGGTGCAATCCAAGCACCAGGCAAGGGCGTTAGCATTCGACATTTTGTTTAGGCGGTGGCAACTTGTTGTTGCTGTTGTTGTTGATGACGCCGTGACGGGCTTCAAGTTACATTTAATGTAACTTAATTCTTGCATTAAAATGTATTCATTAAAAGCTGCCATTTGCCTGCCGTTACTCACGTCTCTTGATGTTGTTCTTATTGTTGTTGTTGTTGTTGTTGTTTCGGCCGCAACCGCAGGAAAAACAAAATAAATAAATAAATAGAATAAAAAGCTTGTGGTAAAAGTCATGCAAAATATTTAGTACAGTTAACCTACCGCAAAAATTCAAACAAGATATAAAAGCAACAAACTTTCTCAACAACATTGTTGCTAGAGTTGATTGTTGAGCAAACATTTAAAGACAACTTTTCAATGTTCACTTCAGCCAACAAAAACACATCACATGTGAGAGTTTCGTGGAAAGATTTTAATTTGGTAATTCAAGCGTGGAAAAGGTGATTGCTAGATCTAAAAATAAATAAGTAATTTTATCTTTTGATTTACTTTTTATTAAAGATAGAAATTATCTTGAAAAGAATAATTTTGAATTGTTTACAAACAGATTAAATTACATTGTTAAATAACTTTTATTTATTGCTTAATATGTCCAAGATATGATTGAATTTTTTTGTGCTAGCACGACAATACTCCTTATAACCTGTACCCGTTTGAAAATTGATCATATTAAAGGGTGTATCGGTTTTGTTCAAATGTATACAATAGTTGGAATTAGGAATGTCCGACTGCATAAAGTACATATATATATGCTTGATCTGGACGACGAACTGAGTCGATTTGCCTTCTGTGTGAAAGCGTCGATGTCAGAAACTACTTATAAAGATCTGAGACTGCAAAATTTTATAACGCACGCAAAACTTTTTGTCCTAACTGACAGACCTACTGACTTAGTTACTGACTGATTGTTGATCAACGCACATCCCAAACCGTAAGAGCTAGGAAGCTGAAATTTTCACTGAATTACCTTATTTGATAAGGGTTTCAGTAGATTCCACCCGCAAGTATCGAAAAATGTATGAAACTTTTTTGTTTACCATTCGATCGGTCTGAATCTCACTTTTAAAAAAATATGTTCAAATTCATAGATTTACTTAAAAATGCATCCCACCCTGGTGGAAATGGGTGTCAAAGATTTGGTGGGTGACATTTCGTGCTCAAATTAATTTCCAAAGATCTATATGAATACTCATTTGGGACGTGTTTCACACTTTTCGCAAAATCTAAACTTCTTCGGTAGAAATGCGATTTAAAGATTTTTTGATCTGTCCAATTTGGTTAAAACTTATTTTCAAAGCTCTACATAAAAACTTATTGAATACGTGTTTGGAAAATTCCACCCGCACCAGTGGTAAATTGGCGGAAAACGCTTGTGTGAAAGATATTTGTTATCTTTTAAAGCTTTTTGAGAAAACGTATTTTATACATGCCACGGGCAAGGACGGGTTATACCCGCCAGTCGTCCTATATGCATATATATATATATATATATATATATATATATATATATATATATATATAAGTATATAGAGCCGTGCCCTTTTTTTTTTGTTTTTATTTTTCACATATTTTATATCGTATATTTGTTCTTAGAATTAGTTTAAAAAAAATACATATGTATATCCATATACATAAACATATACAGGGTATCTTCTATCACTTACGACTCGACTAAAGAACTCCTGATTGTTTTGATATTAAATCTGAATATTAAAATGCGTTGCTTTGCCAATTATTTCGGTAGGCATGGTATTATTTTTGGACACGCCTCTTTCAATAGACTGATTGTGCCTCTAATTTGATAGGCACTCGTCAATTGCGCAACGATTAAGATTAAGATCATGTGTCTGGTCTTGTGAGATATTTGCAATGAGCTGCAGCCGCGTTGCAAGTGCCACAGCTGGCACCTTGAGGCAACCTTATTAGGATTAACAACGCCAACCACTGACGAATCATTTTCGCTTTGTCCGTTTCTGGGACATGTGCATGAGTCAGGCTCGAGAATGAATATTTAAGCCATTCGCCAGATAAGCTCATGGCTAGTTTATATTTGATGAGTTTCATTTGCAATTGCGCAAGGCAGCGCATAATTGTAGAATTGGAAAATATTTGGTTTTAATGAAGTCCAAATTGGAAAAGCTGAACCCTGCCTAAGAATAAATTTGTTTATGACTTTTTGGTTGATGCGTTTTTCGGCTTCAGTGGGTTTTACGACGGCGACATGGAGGAAGCGCCCACACCACACCACCACACGGCACCACTACTGCGACTTCAATGCGCAGCAATTTGAACCGTTTACGGAAGTTAGCGGGTGGGTTAGACAAGTTACGCTCCATTGGTTTGGCCCGTTCCCAAGTGGATTTCGATGGAGCAGCATTTTTGGGCGATTCAAACAAATTGTTAATTGCTTTTGATTGCTGGTGCGGCACAGCCCACGCCTGCTTCCAAGCAGGCAGCCGCCCAAAACATAACCAATCAATTGAAATCCATGACTGACTCGAACTTTCACTCTTGAACGTCTTTGCAGATGAAATCCAGCACATGCGAGCTGCACAACTACGCGGACTTGGACATGGAGCCAGACAGCGTTCAGCCGAAGGCGGACTCGCGCAAGCGCAAGGCCGCCACAACGCCGGGCAGTCGACGTGGCGAAAAGTATTCGTTGCGTCAAAAGCGACAGAAGCGCCTGCCCGGCGATCTTTTCGAGACGGCGCCTGCGCCTGCCGCAGAGCTGCAGTCGGCAGCGACACCCGCTGCCAAGGCCAAGGCGAAAAGCTCGACCAAAACGAAAGCACCGCCGCTGAGCAAGTATCGCCGCAAGACGGCCAACGCCAGGGAGCGCACACGCATGCGCGAGATCAACATGGCCTTCGAGCAGCTGCGCCACTGCGTGCCGCAGTCTATTACGGGTGAGGATGCTGCCAATACCAACGAGAAGCTAACCAAGATAACGACGCTGCGGCTGGCCATGAAGTACATTGGCATGCTGAGTGAATCGCTGCAGGATCCCAGCTACGAGAGTGAGTTTTTGGTCGAATGTCTGCGCGAGAGCGCTAACCGGGAGGCGCATGTTGGCCTGGATACCGAGCCAGAGCTGGATTTCGAACTAGAGGTGGAAGCTAAGCCGCCTGTCAAATCCAAAAAGAATCCAGCCAAGGCCAGCAAAAAGACGCCCGCCAAGCGACAGAGCAAACAGTCGAAGGCAGACATAGCAGCAGCCACGCCCACAACGGCAATTACTACAAGCGCGCCAAGCAGCTCGCCGGAATCGTGTTATGCCTCCTCCTCCGTGGGCTCGCCCGCCTTTTGTGTGGCCGCCTGTTCGCCTAGCTCGGCATATGCGTCGCTGTCCTCAGCCGCCTCTAGTAGCTGTAGCAGCAGCGGCAGCGTCCATGGAAGTGCGGCTCTGGACGCGGACAGCTTGCTGGGCATGCAGGCGCTGAGCGAGCTCAACACATTGCTGCTGGAGTCGGATAGTGATTCGCTGCACTGCCTCAATAGTAGCTACCATCCTGATCTGCTGACGTCTGCAAGCTCTGTGCTGCCTTCACGTGGCGATTTGCCTATATCGATGAATTTGCCACTGGACAAGCCAGATGTGGAGCTAAGCTTGCGACTGTTGGACCACTCGACGGACTCCTTTGACTTTGCCAGCGATCAGCAGCCCTCGGCGTGCATCAGCCCTCTGGCCACACTGGACAGCTTTCATCCGTTCTCGGATCTGCTGCATAGCGAGTTTCCGGATATATTTCTCACGTGACCAGCACAGCAGGCAGTCTGTTAGTTTATTGAATACTTAATAATTATTGATAATTAGAGTTTGTTAATTGCTGCGTTTAAGTTTAACCTAGTTTTATAGTTGCGCGATCACCTAACCTCACTTAAGCTATAGCCGCGGAATTCATCGTGTCATAGCAGTCAGGCAGGCAACTGCATATTCATGCTCATGGACAGTTACAGACAGTCCATGTCCATTTGTTTCTCTCAATAACCAAATTAGTCAACTAAGCATTTTTCTAAAGTATTTTTTTCACACTCTACACTTAAATACAATTTCGAACTGTAAATAAATCACAAATGTTGTTCAATCAAAAATATTATACTCCCCTGAAAAGTCTGGCCCAGAGCCCGTAAATATTATATAAATTTTCAGCGACATTAAGTTAGAATTTCCAATTATTTGTTTATTTATTTATTTTTTCCCAAAGATGCCATATGATCCCGAAACGGACTTTCCCGAGGCGTGGAAGCTATGCAAACCCTTCATGCTCACCGACGACCATCTGCTATCAATCCGGAATTCGATGACCCGCGAGCTACTCAACGGTCTAGGAAGGGACACGCACGACCGCTCGTCGATACCATGTTACCTCAGCTATGTGCAGCATTTGCCAACGGGACGTGAGCGTGGTCGATTTCTTGCGCTTGAGATGTGGCCCACCAATTGCCGCATTATGCTGGTCAAGTTCGGCAGCGAGAAGGACATCTACATGAGCTCAAAGTGCGTCATTGTGCCACATACGATCGCCGCATCGCGTGGCACAACGCTATTCAATTTTCTGGCCCAGAACATTGCGGTCTTTGTAAGGGAGAAAAAGGTTGAGAAGGACAACCTGCCAATGGGCATTGCCTTCGCCTTTGCATTGAACAAGTTGTCCCTGGACGTGGGCATTCTGGTCAGCTGGACCAAGGGATATGGCGCCCAGGGAGCGGTGGGCAAAAATGTGGTACAGCTGCTGCGCAATGCCCTGGACGAGTACAAGGATATTTCGATAAATCTGAATTCCATTATCAACATCGCTGCCGGCTCGCTAATGGCCCTCTCCTGGTCGCAGACCAACTGCAAGATGGGCCTTATCATAGGCACCGTCACAAATGCCGCCTATGTGGAGCAGAGTGTGGAGTGCGAAATGTATGAAGGCGATGCAAGCGTCCCGCTGATGATCATCAACACCGAATGGAACAACTTTGGTTCCAATGGCCACTTGGACTTCATACGCACCGAGTTCGACAAGATTGTCGATGCAGAGTCCAATAATCCAGGCAAAAGGTATTATGAGAAGTGCATCAGCACCCTCTACCTAGGTGAGCTGGTGCGCCTCATTATAGTGCGCCTCATGAATATGGGCGTCATTTTTCGGGAGCACAACCTTGATTATATGGGCATACAGTGGAAAATGGAAATGAAATCGATTATGGCCATCGATTCGGATCCGCCTGATGTTTATGTTAAGGCCCAGGAAGTCATGGACAAGTTCCGCATGCGCAACTGCCAGGAACGCGATTTGGCCACGCTCCGCTTCATCTGCCAAACAGTGAGCACCCGTTCCGCCAAGCTGGTAGCTGCCGGGGTCGCCTGCCTGATCAATCGCATGAATTATGCAAATATTTCGATTGCTGTCGATGGCGGCATTTACCGCCTGTATCCCAGATACCAGGAGGTCCTCAACAAGCATGCCGCAGCTCTAATCAATCCAGACTTAAAGTTTGAAATCACCATCGCACAGGATAGTCCTGGCGTGGGTGCTGCCATCGTAGCTGGTCTAGCATCTTCTCTTAACTTCAGACATTTATCTAAATCGTAGCCTTCAAATCTATTTACGATTATTGATTATCTTCTTATATGTGTATATATAGATTGTTCTTACATATTCCACATTCTTTTTTGACTAATGTCTCGCGAGAAGACAGCGTCTGAACAGTGTAACTGAAAACGGGTCAGACTATACGTGTTTCGAAATTCAAGCTCTTTTTAATTCCAAATATTTCTTTGCTAAAGCTTACTAAAGGCGTAAGATAGGACTGCATAAACTATATAATCCGTGGATACTCGATACGTCGATTTTCAAGGCCAACTAGGCAATTTTTGAAACGAAAATCGCTGCAGGTTTTTCCTGAAAATGTTTCGTAACCCTTTTTTTAAATCAAGTTACTTCCGCATTAGCTGCTCGAAAATTCTCAATGCTTGAAAATGGATTTGAATTTGAATGTTATTTTAATTTTAACATCAAGTCGGAACGGACTTCAGAAAATTCTAAATTTTTATTTACTAACCTAGCGCCCCGCCCTTTGGAAGCTCCTTGGTAATGTCTGATCCAAAGCAGAAGTATCCGGAGGCCTATGAGATATGCGAGAAGTTCATGTTAAATAAACAACACATGGACGAGATTGTTAATCGTCTAACCAAGGAAATCAATATGGGTCTCACACGGGATACACATCCGAGGGCCACCGTTAAGTGCTTTGTCACTTACGTACAGGAGCTGCCCACGGGAAATGAGCGGGGAAAGTATCTGGCGCTGGATCTGGGCGGTACCAATTTTCGAGTCCTCTTGGTTAATCTGATTAATGACAGAGATATTGATATTACCGGAAAGACTTATGCCATTAGCAAGGAATTACAGGAAGGTTCGGGCATAAAACTGTTTGACTTTATTGCCAGATGTCTAGCGGAATTTTGCAAGGAGCATAAAATGGAGCAGTCTAATACACCATTGGGATTTACCTTTTCCTTTCCATGCAAACAAGTTGGCATTGATAACGGCACCTTGGTCGCGTGGACGAAGGGTTTCAAAGCCGAGGGAGTTGTTAATCAGAACGTGGTCGAATTGCTGCGGGATGCAATCAAGCGTCGAGGCGACTTCAAGGTCAATGTCGTGGCCATATTGAACGATACGACGGGAACCCTAATGTCCTGTGCATTTAACCACCGCAATTGCAAAATTGGCATGATTGTTGGCACGGGCAGTAACGCTTGCTATGTGGAGAAGACGGCGAATACCCAAACCTTCGATGGCTATCTAAGCTCCACAAAGCCCAATATGATCATCAATTGCGAATGGGGTGCTTTTGGCGACAATGGCGTGTTGGATTTCATACGCACTTCCTATGATCATGAAGTCGACAAGCAGTCGATCAATCCAAAGAAGCAGATATTCGAGAAGTGCATCTCTGGCATGTACATGGGCGAATTGGTGCGTCTCGTTCTATTGGAATTGATGGAAAAGGAAGCCATTTTCAAGGGCCAAACATCGCAAAGCATTCTAATAAAGGGCAAGTTTGATACTAGCTTTATAACTGAGATTGAGTCCGATCAGCCGGGCTCGCATCGCAATGCCGCACTGGTGATGGATCGCCTGGGCATCAGAACGAATAATGAGAAGGATCTGGGATGTTTGCGCTTTATATGCGAGACTATATCCACGCGTTCCGCAAGGCTGGCTGCCTGTGGGCTCGTCTGCCTGATCAACAAAATGAATGTTAAGGACTTGACTGTCGGCATTGATGGCAGTGTATATCGGTATCATCCAAATTACCATAGACTGTTAACGGAAAATATGAACATGCTGCTAAAGGGTTCAGTCAAATTTGAGCTAGTTTTATCCGAAGATGGCTCGGGTCGCGGTGCGGCTCTAATTGCTGCGGTGTGCGCTAAGTGAAGTATATATTATTTTGAACCGATTTTAGTATTTTTAAAGTAAGTTATTCAAATTGCACGCCGTTCCATACCGCTCAGGCTGCGACACGTAGCAGAGCGCAACGCAAAACAGAGCATCATAACGCATATTGGAGTTTAGGTGGCTTGCTCCACCTAACAAACTTAACTCCTCCCTTGGCTGGCTTGCGTACGGCTTATAACCGTCAAATAAAAGTAAAGAAACGTTTTATTATAAAATTCTGTAACAAAAATTAACAGGAATTAACAGAATGCTAGTGTTCAACTTTGCAAATCAACTGTAAATTAGATGCTCAAGAAAATTATCGATACATTCCACTTTTTGTATTTTTGAATTGATTGCTTTGGTATTTTGTTGCTTGTGAGTTGCTGCCACACTGCTTACAAGTCTAGGTGGAAAAAATTTAGAATGTACGTAATTTATCACTTGCACGCACATTTGGGAGAAATTTAATTGGAATTTCATAGGTATGCACTATCCAGCACTCTTGTGCGCTCACCAGCGCTGCGTCAAGGACTCAGGGTGGCCGCGGCTACCCGTCAGGTTTCGTTGAAAGTCGTCTCTGTCGGCTCAACCATCAAGGATGAGAGCTTCTTTGAGAAGAATGAGCGGCTGGGCCGCCAGATGTCGCCACACCTGACCATCTACAAGCCGCAGCTCACCTCCATGCTGTCTATCATGCACCGCGGAACCGGCCTGGCTCTGGGCATTGGCGTTTGGGGCTTGGGGCTGGGCGCACTCATCGCCTCCCAAGACATCGGCCATTATGTGACCATGGTGGAGGGTCTGCAGCTGAGCGGCGCCGCCTTGACCGCCATCAAGTTCATCATCGCTTATCCGGTTGGCTATCACTCGGCCAACGGCATACGCCATCTGATTTGGGACACGGGCCGCTTCCTAAAGATTAAAGAGGTCTACTCCACAGGTTATGTAATGGTCGCCACCTCCGTCGTGCTGACTGCCATATTGGCCCTGTTGTAAATTCTCCACCAACTATCGGAGCTAAGTGTTAGTGGACCCTAATTAAATTTTAGTGCGAACATGTCTATTATTTGATAAATGCATACATAATACATGTATAGTTTATTTATAATATGTATCTTCATTTTGCTCTGTTATGCAACAACTGTCGCCGACCTGTTTAGTACGTTTTTATTTGCCAGCGCCTGCAATTTGTTAGATATCGTGTTTTGTGCTAATAGCTAGCTCAATTTGTCAGCCATCTAGCTACCCAGCTAGAAATTTTATATCGTTAGCTCCTAATCACACACACTACCATTTGATTCTACTTGGCTGGGCACAGATATAAAAATATACAAATAGAATCATTGTATTAATTAAATTAGTTTATGCATAAAGAAAGTTATCTGTTTCGCATGAACTTCACACCTTTATGTTTATATAGAATTTGTAAAGCCTGTAAAATCCTTTAGTATTCAAGACAAAAAAGAACTGTTTTATGATTAACTTAATATACAACGACGTTAGAAAACTTCTAGCAAAAATTCAGTGTAAGATGTCAACCGCAAATCTTTTATTTTTTCTAAGATTTCAAATTTGAATATACAGACATAATATTGAAAGCAAACAGGTCTAGGTCATTGTGAAATTTACTAATTTGTATGCATTTGCAAAGATATTTCATTTTTGAGATAGTTTCACAATACCCTGGCAAGGTATTTTACAAGATGGTGACAAAGGAAAAAGCTTCCACTCTCCATAAACTCTTTGTATAAAACTGCTTTAAACTTATTTTCAAAGATCTTAGTAAAAATTCTCTCAAGACACACTTCGTACTTTTCGCAAAATTCACCCCTTGATTATTATTACGATAAACTTTTATTGCAAAGGTTGGTTCTTAATTCAAAAGACTTCAAATCGATTTGCAAATATCTTTGTAAAATAGAACTAAAAACTTAGCTTAAGTTCGTCAAATAACTTTGTTTACCATAGCGTTCTCTTTGAATGACTGTGGATACTTTATCTATCAAAGATTGCTTGTTCTTTCTTTCTCATTTGTTGAGATTTTTCATAAGAAACTTATTAGAAAATATGAAAAATATTTGCAAGGATTATCGGACGGGTCACAAACACAATGGATACTACAAAGATACACTCGTTTATTTGTGAAATTTGAATTCATTAAGGTCGGAAAATGTTTTGATGTGCAACAGTCATAAAGTTTTGCATGTACATGCAAGTGGCTAAAATGTATCTAATAACTAATATCACAATTTATGATGTAATTGCTGTACGTTTAGTATGTGCTCCTGTGCTCCTTCACTACTGTATGGTGCCATGCGATTTGTTGTTGCCCTCCGAGCGGGGGTCATCCAGCAACTCAAAGTCACAGACTAGTGAGAAATGATCCGATGGATATTGAAAACTGGGCGTGCGATTTTTGCCGATCTGTTCGCCGGCTGGAAATTCCAGGCAGTTCTTGATCTGCGTAATAATGTGTTACCATTCGGGTTACTTATGTTGACTTTTGGCACGCCCACTTACCTTAAGCTGCTGAGGCGTGTAGAAGACATAGTCAATGGTGTGGCATTCTTCACCATCCTCCCGAATTTTCCAGGTGGTGTATGGCGGTTCACGCTTAATTGACTGCGAAATGAACTCATTCGGATCCTCACAGCTCGAAGTGAACTGCTGTTCCCGGTCCTGTTCCCTTTCCCGTTCCCGTTCCCGTTCCCGTTCGAGCTGCATATCCGCGTAGGCGCTGCTCAATTTGAAGAGATCGCAGCCTAAAATTGTTGCATAGATAGGCTCAACTGGCTCCGCGTTGAAGTCGCCGCACAACAGGAGCGGACTCCCGCCGGCAAACTGCTTGACAAAGCGGATCAGATCGCGCCCCTGCTCGTTGCGCAGCTTGGCCAACAGGGCGCCATGGCGAGCCTTCAGATGTGTGGTGCAGACACAAAACTCCTTGCCGCTGGACTTCAGCTGCAGCCGAGCGGCAATGGCCACCTGGTTGCTCTGGACACGCCAGACCTCAAGAATGCGCGTGTCATAGCCGAGCAGCTGGAGCTTGTCGCGCTTGTAGAATATAGCACAGCCATCGGGTCCATTGTTCTGCTCAATATACAGACACGGCGAGTCCGGCTTGGGAAAGAAGATGCCAGCATAATTCTGGCTGCCCAGCACAGTCTGCAGGAACTTGAAGTGATCCACCTCCTGCACAGAAATGTTGATGTTAAAGCGCGACTGCATTACGTTTAAGTATGGGCGTGAATAAATACTTGCAGACAAACCACATCCGGCTGGTTCTGCAGAATCTCCTGGACAATCAAATACTTTCGATGCTGCCAGGTCAAAGCCTCTTCGGGGCAACGCACAAAGCCGTCGTTGTGCTGACCGAGAGCTAAAAAAAAAAAAAGAAAGATATTACCACAAATTATAAGAAATTTTCATTTTTAATTAATGTTAAGAAACTTTATTACTATTTCTCAATTAAATATTCCTTGAAACATCTCGCTTTAAACGTTTTTTTGAGTGCAAATTAAACGTGCTTTACAATTTTTTCTGTCATCAGATTTTTCCTTGTTGAAATACATGTTGTGAAAAACTTATCAGTTTTTCGATTTTCGAATATTTAAATATTTACAATACTGAAATATATTATTAATTTTCAATTTTACTTACTTTGCGAGAGAATGTTCCACTGTAGCAATCGTATATTCTGCGTGCCTTCGTTCTCATCTGGAGCACTGCAAACTGTGAGCGAAACTCATAGAGAATCTATGTAGGACATGCAATCTATTAGCACCTACCGCGTGAGACGGAGTTCAGCTTGAGACACCGCATACCATCGGTCACATCCTCGCTAAGCGGCGATGGCTTTAGGAAGCAGCGGCTGAGCAGCGACGGCTGATCGATGCCTCCGCCGCGCAGCTGCTGCACATGCTCGAGCAGGGCGGCGGTGCTCAGACCCTTGGGCAGCTCCAGGCCATCATCCTGGGAGTCCACATTGTTGATCTTGGGCGCCGAGTTAAAGGAGCCCATCCTAAGATGAACATTAATATTTTTAGTATAAAACTTAATAACTGTTAATTTTGATTGAACTTCAAATTAAGAAAATGATCGTGCTCAAAAATTCTCCTATCGATTCTATTTGCTAAGGTAAAACTATTAAATATACAATTAAAATAAAATAAAATATACAATTATTAAGAAGATATATTTCAGAATTTTCTGAATCTTCAAAATATGATGCACGACCAACACAATGCTCACAAGCCTATAGCAATAACAAGGGTAGTAGCAGCATAAACATGACAGCAAACAAAAAACAAATGAATAATAACAATTACAATAACAATTGGCTTTTATAAAGCATTTGTAGAAATGATTTCATCAACCATCTTACGTAAATACTCACAACTCATTCGGGTTTCTAAAGAGAATTTTTCGTAGTATTATGCTGAAAATGAACAAACTATGACTATGCCTTTGGCTGACATAGAACTTAGCCATAGAGCTTTGAACTTTGCTGAAAAGAATATTTAATTGTATCTTTAGCCAAACATTTGGGAAATTTATAGGGCATAAATGATTTGTGGCATGCGCTTGAAATGTGGCTATGGAACATTAGAAGCAAGCACCAAATATTGATCGGGGAATTGAAGGACGACGATCTGAGGAAACTTATACTTATAAAACAACCCCAGGTTTAAAGGAAGTTCGAGTTTAAAATAATTATAATATCGATATTATTTTTTCTGAATGAAAATATTGAAGAAATTTGTGAAAAACTAAATAATAATTATTATATTCTTATGGCGTTCTTTGCAACTTTAAGAAATTCCTTACCAGTTGCGGATGCTATATGAATAATGTATACCAAATTGAATTTTCCGTCAATATACGATCCTTTACAGTATTTATGTCGAATGTGGTCAACGTGATTTAAAATTCCCTCAAAAAAATGTTAAGAAGAAAGTTTACTTTATTCTGGTCTTTACGTTAAGCTGCGCCAAGTTCAATAGGACCGTAAACTTTATGAACATCATAATTTGTGAGCTTAAAATATCAAATGCCATAAAATGTTTTTGTTAGCAAGTTTGTGGCCGATATATTTGGGAAAAGCTGAGTAAGTGCGCATGACTGTGCACATGAGTGTGATACCAGCTTTCACAAGCTAGAGAACTCGATTCATGCCCACCCACGCAAAAATCTTCGGACATGCTGAGACGTCGCATGCGGCTCAAAAAATAAAAAAAAAAAAACAGACAAAAAGTCGCTCGGTCAATAGCTTTACAGCTGTTTAGCTGGTTTTCGGGCAGCGCGCGCATAACGATTATAAACCAGTTGGAGGCGTTTGGCAACGCAATCAATCAATAGATTGGAGATTTCTGCTCTCACCTGGTCAGCATCACCCTTTGCAGGAAGGCCTTGCGGTCGTTCTTGCAGGGTGCCTTATTGTTGCGATTCAATTGCATCGCTTGCTCCATGTGGCCGGCAGGATCAGAAGCCAGTTGTTATTGTGGTTGTGTTTGTGGTTGGTGGTGGTGGTGGTGGTGATGGTGGTTGGGATTTGGGTGAGTTTTGTTTGGAGTGTGGGTTTTGCCGAAAGTTGTGCGAAGTGCGCTTGTAAGCAACATTTGCGAAACTGAATGGCAACTGAAATGCGGCGTTTTATTAGAGATCGGCCAGACAGAAACAAAGAGAGAGATAGAGAGAGAGAAAAAGAGAGCAAAGACGCATAAACGAGTATTTCAGCATACACACAGACACACACATACGCACACCCAGTCAAGCGCACACAAAGTGAGATGTATCTGAAAGATACAGAACAAGATCAATACGTTCTACTCACGTGCGTTGCTCAGTTGGGCAAAAAATGAGCAGCGTAACAATAACAATAACAACAGCAACAACGTGAACAACAATACCTTCGGATACATCGAAAACTGGCAGCTTGCTAAATATTTATGCGTAAAATTCTTTATGTAGATACATTCACATGGATCTGCACGCCATTGTCTCGCTTTCGTTTGTATTGTAATGAAAACAAAAGTACGGCTGGACATGGGAATGGCTCCACTGATTTATGCCTAAACAAATTTTCTTCGCATGCAAATTTGGCAGACACTCGGAGGCCTGAAATGCGCACATTCGGCATATCTGCTCCCATATGCTGCAGGCCAAAGATACAGATACATATTCGTATCTTATGGCATAAGCGAGCGCAATTTATGCAGCGGCGCAGTTACATGCGTAATGAGCGGCAGCTGGCAAATGCGCCAAGTATCTGTTACTTAAAGATACTGTATCTTTTTACCTGGGTATCGGCACCGCTACACGCCGCGCAAACGTCTTCGATGTGACAATCAAACGCGATGTTTTCATTAAAAACTCCATTTTGCTAGATGTGTTTTCTCTGTTTCTTGGATTAAATATTAGGCAAGCGTCTTTTTTCTTTACAATTGATCGGTTTGATATTGATTTTGATTTGTATTAGGTTAACTTGAAATGTTTTATATTAAGTGTCAATATGGCAATGTCAAAGAGACGCGGTTCAAGCTGTATTTCCTAAAAGAATAGATTAGAATAGAACAGTGGAAAAAATTGAAGCATTAGTCGGTTAGTTTTAGACAGCTGGGAGCGGGGGCGGGTTTGATTTGGACATGTTGAACCACTTGCTAAACCACTTGCAATGCGCCACAGATACAGCGACAAATGCTATCATTCGCCACGTGACTAGCTCTAAAAATTGCCAATTTGAATGTTGACACGCAGCTGTAGCTGCATTTTAATTTCCGATTATATAGTATCATAGTTTGTCGAAGAATGCCCGAAATAAAACACTAAAACCAGTTCCAAATTAAGAACTGGCAATCGATTTCTATAAAAAAATTCTTATTAAATAAGTTCTCTCTGAAGTGTAACGTATTTATAAGACTCGCTGCTTAAAATAGTTAATATCTGCCATTTACAATTCCTCCCTAAAATATTCGTATCGTGGCATGAGTCAACACAGCTTAAATATTTTTCATATACTTACGACCATATATTTTAGAAGTAAGTATATGCTCTGGAAAATATTGGGAAAAGAAACGAGCATATTCTTATTTAATTAATTATTAATTGGGCGCTGCTAAAAACCAAAACGAAATGATTTGTCTCTGATGTTTTTTTACATAGATTTTAAGCCGCAGGTAAAATAAACTATGTTATATATTTTTCGCATGAATTGAGCAAGGTTAGTTATTTTTTTGATTGAAGCCAAGTTTACTGGGGCCTGACAATGCCTAAGAACACTTGACATTTTGTCAGTGTTGGCCATGAACTTGATTTATAAGCGCAACTGCCGCTGGCCACCAATAGCGGCAACAACTTAGCAACAGAAAAAAAAAAAAAACAACGAGCAACAACAACAACACCAGCAACAAGTTTTGACAGTCAATGTTTGTGTATGGAGCACGCCCGCTCGCATTTATCTCTCACCTCACAAGATACAACAGCAAATCTCGCGGCGGCGGCGACTCATAATCAGCGATTGGCGGCAACGTGTCTCCAGCAGCAGCAGCAGCAGCTACGGCAGCAGCCGCAGCCTCGCCGCTGGGTGTGGTCAGCCAGGCTGGCTGAGTGCCCGCCGCCTGGGTCTCGATTTCCATTTCCAGTTTGCGCGCGGCGAGACGCTGTTTCATTTGCGTTGTCGAGGTCATTGCCGAGGTCTTGGCTAGCGCTTCCGCAATTTCATATTGCTTCAGGAAATCCTGGCGCAGCTGCTCTGCATCCTGTGTGGCCAGGCGGCCAGACAAGCAGAGGCCATGTCGGCACTCATCGTTGCACAAGCGCTGGCACATCTCATTGATGGCCAGGCCTGGACCACTTAAGCCCTCCGGCGTACGTTGGCTGCAGTTGAGGCAGGGCATGTCCGCCTTGGCATGACCAAGCAACTGTTGATCTGCGTAGTGCGGCGGCTCTGGCGTATTATGCTCATTGGGCGACGGTGGAGGCTGCAGCTCGTCTGCAATATTAAAGTAACGCGGCGGCGGCTCATTCTCAATCTCATCAGCATTAGCAGCTGCGCTGCGTGCATGGCTCGCCCTGTTGGTCTCCGCTAGATTCAGATTGAGCAGCAAGGCTGTCACGGGCATGGCCTTGCCGAGCGCGGGCTGACGACGGTGGCCCAGGCGCTGATCGTGCTTATCATTGTGACTGTTCATATTTCTTAACACTTTTCAACACTTTATTTTAATTCATTGGCCACGCGGCGTATGCGCAATTTTCGAACAACCGTTGCGCGTTTAGAACCGAACATCCAATGTGTTAATACGCGCGTGCGTTGCTTTTCCTTATTTATATATCTTTGGCCCGCTCTAGCCAGATCGAGGCAATCAAGTGGACGCTGCCTCGCTGCCTCGGTGTCTCGGTGTCTCGCTACAAGGTGCCCCGCTGCCCGCCGTTCATTAATTGAGCCAGTTGTTGTTTATGTTGCTGTTGTTGCTTCTTGTTGTTGTGTGCTTGTTCTTGTTGTTGTTGTTGTTGTCGATGTTGTACAGTCATAAGTACATGATTTTGTTTCTCTCTGGCTGTGCGCTCCCCTAGTAAAGGCAAACGAGATTTTGTGCGCGCACTTTCCAAAATGTCAAAACACAAAATTAGCAATAAAAAATAAAGTGAAACAAAGTAACAAAAGTGCTGCCTACAATTTTTGATTTGCTATTTTTATATATCACTTGCTTTCTTTTGTTTAAACAAATTATTATTTTTGGTAGAGGCGTTCGCCAATCGCATCTCATAACATTGACTCTAAGCCCTAGACTTGAGTTGATAACACAACGATTTAAATCTACAACTATCTGATGATTAATCCATCTATATACTATATGCAGCCTATATAAGATAACAAGGCATCAGGACGGATTGACAGCTGTTCAACTTTGTTGCACTTAGCTAATGATATATGTCTCATTTAATTAACACTTTGTAAGTTTTGTAAAGTGCATTTGTTCGTCGAAAAGCCAGCAGTAGACCCACATGTTTAATTTGCCACGCTCATAAATCTTATTATATCTTCAAGTCTCACTTCTCAACCTGCTATTGCAGCATGCGAGCTAATTCATATAAATATAGGCTATCATTTTAATATTGTAATATATACGAATATACTATAATTTTATTTGTCTTTAAAGACCGTTAAATAAAAGTTATAATCCCGAGATCTATTCAGAATATTGTTGCAAATATTATAGCAGTCAATATTTGAGAGAGTCTGATCACTCTGAATTTATTTACATTTCATTTAATTTATATGATCAAATAATATAAAAACCTTTATTTCCGCAATATGCAATTGCACAATTTCTATGAACGTATGTGCTAATAAAAAATATTTATATATACAAGCAGTCTTACTGTGCTCGCGAATTCTGACAAGAAATAAAAAGAAAATAAAAATATGAAAACCTTTATTTCCGCAATGTGCAATTGCAAAATTTCTATTAATGTATGTGCTAATAAAAAGAATGTGCACCTATTTATATATACAAACACTGTAAGACCTCGCGAATTCTCACCACAAATAAAATTAAAATTGCCTAAGCTAAATTATATTTTTAATGTCCAGCGATTCTCAAAATTAGGTCTTATCAATACTGTACGAATATTAGGCAAATGATCTCGAATTAAATTTTAGTTTTAGAGCCTGAACCCATTTAAAATGGATAAAAAGGGACAGACAGACAGAAGGAAGCATCTCTTATTTTTTAATGGCAGGAGTGATCAAATTTGATATGAGCTTCTAGAATAATGGGTACAGAACAAGTATCTTTTATTTCATAGATATCACCAACCCCCTGCGACCACTCCATAGCTATAACTTCAAGCCATCTTTGTAATGCAATTGTCCTCCTGAGAATATATATTCTATAGCACAGTTAGATCGGTTAAGCAACACAGAAGACTATCTTTCATGATAAGCTAGCGCAAATTGCAAGAATTTCCGTATACAAATGCACACACACATTCATGCGCGCCTTTATTAAATTCTATAATCAGCATTGCAATTGCGATGGTTTGTTTTTTGTGCGATGAATTCACTTTTTTATTTTTTGAACGCACGGTTTCTAATGCCGGTACGAATGTGAGTCCTATTGGGGAACTATTCTTCATTTTTTCATATTATTGCTAAGGCAAATAAGCTTGTAGCGCAAGTTGGGTTGGAGGGTTCATACTTATTTTATTTCGTATATTTACCAATTTAAATTTATAAAACGTAACAACACCCTGAACGCAAAGAATTCAGAGCGATTTCACGTCTCAAAATAAAAATAAATATGAGTTACTAAATGTATTGTCTACTTTTCGGCTGCCGATCAAAATTCTTATTCTTGCAGTCGCTCAAATTTATTAGGCAAAATATTTTCGGTGTTTACGATGTTTGTTTAGCTGATAAACACCAGCTAGATTAAAAACAAAAAACTGTTCAATTAAACTGTACATATCCCAAGGTGGTCTTACGTTTGAGTTCTTCTAAATGGACGTGAAACCCTTACTTCCTACTCTGCGGTATTAGTCAGCCCTAAGTCATTTAGCAGCCTGCTGCTAACTGCAGATAACACATTTCTTATTTTATTTTGATTTTGTTTTTCTATCGTTGTTTTTTTTTTATTTTTTGGCAATCTAGCACGGAAAGCTAAGCAAAATTAACAAGAGCAGCGTCCGTCATTGAGTTTTATTTATATGTCCCAGATATATATGTGTGCAAATATAATGTTTACACGTAACTATATATGTATATATATATATATATATTTATATATGTATGTACAGTCTAGCACGCCTAGCAGTTGTCTACATGTTAAAATGTGCCGATTGTTTCATGAAAATGTTATTTGAACTTGGCAGTGAGCGGACAATCCTCACGGCAGCTTAATAAAGGTGTGTGGGGTGTGCGCCCAATTACAACAATGGAGAGGGGGTGGCGGGGCGGATAGCCTAGACACCTGCGCAAAGCGAGAGGTGATCGATCGTCCTTCACTTTGCCGAACTTTATGTAGATATGTTTGGGAAACAAACTAAACAAAAACAAATAAATTCGCATGGGACGTATCGTCGTCAGCTTTATTTGATAGCCTTATCAGCAGACGGTCTGTGGGAACACTTGGCCCATAAGGCAGCTTGACTAGAGATACCCTATATGTAAGGGCATTAGATAATATAAACAAAAGTGAGACAGTTACTGCAGAAGATTAAAAAGTATAAATATTTAATATTAATTACAAAAAAGAAACCTTGAAATAGTTTTAAATTATGAATAAGAAAAGCTAATCTCATGTGTTGCATATTCAGTTTGATTTTGCGATTACAACAAATTAATGCCCTTTACGGTGATAGTAAGTGTATATGTAAATATATATATATATAAAGATCAACAGCTGCACTAGACGCCTATAGTATATATACGCAGTGTGTAAGTACCCCTTGTATTGCGAGTGAAACGAACGAGATATTTCGTTATACAACAGCAGCATTGGGGCACATGGTCGGACGCACATATCTCGATTTGGAAAAAACTGGTTCTGTACCGGCGTAGACTGAAACTGTCCGCCTGAAGTTGGTGGGCTCCGCAACTACTTTAACTATGCTATGTACTATGCCTAGTACGATAATATGCATTGCCCAGGGGGTGTCGTAACGCATTTGCAAGTGGTTCGGGTTTGGGCAGCTGGTTGGTTTCTTTGAGTTTGCAGAATATAAACTCACCATTTTTATGCCAGCACCTCGCCACAGCACATTGTTCAAATTTGGGTATATATATTTGGATGCAGTTGAATGCAGTTCGTTCGCGAAATTCACAGGATTTGCGTTAAACTCTTGTCAAATTGGCTCTTTTGGGGCCCTATTTAGCGATCTGTCTGCGATTCAAACGCGCCGCCAAACCTCAAAGAACTAAAAGCAACAATTGTTGCTCTGCGCCATTTATAGGGCGATCGATCCCGCTCTCCCGCACGCCATATTGCCATGCTGATAAGGATACAGTGTGCTTCATACTCTACTGAGTACCGAGTACCGAGCGGTATTGTTGCTGTGCCAGCTGCGATACGATGTATATATTGCACAATTCAACAGTGAGCAGCGGGCTTACAAAATTCTCTCATTTACCGCAGTCTCTCTCACTCTCTCTTTCTGTCTCTTAGTGTGGCTATCTAACAACACACTTAGTTTAAGTTCAGTAGCTCATTCTCTCAGGGCCTGTAAGGCAAACACATGTTGTAAGAGGCCTCAGAGGCTGAGTGGGTGCTGTAATAACTCAAGATATTAGATATTAAAAAATATAAATGCTATCCAGTTAAAATAGCTTAACGCAAGGAAACGCTGTATTTGAATAAAATAAATTACAAATAAAATAAATTTAAAATAAATTGAAATATACATATAAGACAATCTCGAAATACAACTGAAATAAGTATAAGTATATTCTCTTCTCTTTTCTCTGTTTTTCGCCACAATTCAATACTGGTATTTACCGCATCAACAAATTGCACCTGATAACAGTCAGTTTGTCGCGTCTGGACCTGAGGCTCTAATGTCTGGCATGGCGCGTATCTTATTAAGGACCACACGAGCGGTGCGCCACTTGAAATTTGCAAATGGAATTTGTCATCGGCATTATCGACTATTCGCCACAGAGTGGCCGAGTAATATTTACGATCGAGCACCGCGATAAGATACACGGCTGGTCAGAGGCCAATTGCATACGAAAAGTGACGCATGAAACTAGAGCTCCAGAACTAATTGGTCCGAATTAGTTTTAAGCGGTTGCATATGCGCAGCAGATCAGCAAACTATATGTTTGTACATGTGAACCGGCCGGCCGGTCTGTTGGGTTCCATTAAAAACGATTTTATCAAGGGTATTGGGTCTAGGCTGATTAGAAGTCGGTTTATTTTTTATTGCTCACAGCCAGTGGTCTAGCCATACCGATTAGATAGCGACTAGATTTACTGACGGCCTTGCTGCGGTGCTTCCTCCGCCCAAAATTAAATGTATCCAACGTGGCATGCGGCACATTAGCGTATTTATCTCTAATGGTCCGTAACACCACACAAGTATACACATATACATATATTTTCAGCTGTGATATGATTTTTGTTTACGAAAGCGTGCCGCATACTACTGCAACCTATATGAATATGCGTAATTGTATATGTATTTTCGTAAATATGTCGCTTTGTATTCATGTATTTTGGAATTTGAGCTGTATGCACTTATCACTGAAAGTGTTTTCTAGTAGCACAGAGTAGCTTCAAGGGGGTCCCTGTTGAGTGCATTCTATCTACTAATGGTAATTACTAGTTTGTGATAGCGTCTGGATTTTTATGATGAAATTTGGTGTACACAATGCCATACGGGGTAACCTAATTAAATATTTATTATGCTTGGGAAAGGTAAGGAATACAGGGGTAGTCATGTGAATGGGCACGTACTCATTGTGGGAAGACAGCCTATTGATGAATAACCGTAAGTATAATTATTATCTGGGTAACTAATATCCTAAGCTCACCTACACTTTATAGAGAATTCAGAAAGTAAGGTTTTTCAGGTCAGCACAGGTGAAGGTACACAACAGGTAATGTGGATTTTATATAAATCATATGTCTTATTAAATTATTTTGATTTCATCCTGAATTGTTAAACCTATTAGGAAATACATGATTTGGTATCTGATATCGTAAGGAAGGAAACGATTATTCGAAAGAGCACTGACAGCTTGTTGCTCTTTGTTCAAAAATGTCATGTCCAAACATTGACATCATATATACCGTGTCTAAAACAATTAGCAAATGTAATAGTTTATAACAATAAATAAAGCCCCGGCGCAGTCGTAAGCATAAAGCTCCCAAGTCCGGCGAGTTCACTTAACTCGGAGATCCACAAAAGGGACACATTTTCGACAACAAAAGCTTATTGAGCTGCGGAGGCAACGCCCTCAACAAAGCAATGTAATGTGTTGGCTATGGATACTCTGGCACACGTACACACAAAGTGCCGTTTTATTAATTAAAAGCCCATTTCTGTTGTCAGCACTCGAGTAAATTACATTGAATCAAGTGTAAGTAAGCATGCGGGGGTCAACAGCAGCCAATTCGCTAGCGGCCTCAAACCCAAACAAACAGTCTGACGAGAAGCAGCACAGAGACTGAAAGTGAGCGGGAGAGCTGGCTAGCCAGCCAACCAGCTGCTCTCTCAGCAAGCACTCTTACTCTTTGACAGACTGAGTTGCTCTTTCAGACGCATTAAAATCCAAGTCAAAAATATTTTGTGTAATAAACTACAAATAACACACACACATAAGCAAACACCTACACACACACACAGACGTAAACAAAATCAAAGAAGGTGACCGTTAAATGGTTTAATGAGTGCACAAAGGAATTATACAATTTGGTGGGGTTCCATAAAAACGGAAAAATCCAATTGCATGCAAATGCATATTGTCTCTGTCGTCGTTGTTTTTGTATATTTTTGTTGTACTTTGACAGTCTCCTTGTGGCGTGATTTGTTGTTTTATCAATAATTAAATTTAGATATCAACATGCGCCCAAAATAAATGCAACTTACAGAAATTTCGTTAAGACTTTATAGAATGCCACTAGAATGTACACAAGCGTTGAAATTAGCTTCATTTTTATTATATTTGAGATTTTTTTGAAATTAAATTATAAATTCATGTGTTACTAAATGCACTGTTAACTATAAACAAGCCAAGGGTTTAGGTCGAACAAATTTCACTTTACATAACAAAATTTTAGTAATTGTAACAATTCATAGTTTCGTATTTTAGTTAGATTTTCTTTTCTGTTTTTCTAGCCGCTGAACTTTATGCACTTTGCTTAAATTTTACTATCAATGTCATTTCCGCGTTGAGCACGTTTTTCACACTAAGCTGACATAAAAAAGAGGAGACTACGCTTTCTGTGACGTACGTGTGTATGTGGTGCCATGGTTACGGACAAAGCGCAAGTGAAATATATAGAGAGAAAGAGTAAGAGTGAGCACAAAGCGAACGGTAGAGCTGTTGAAAGGAAAAGCTAGCTCGTGCTTTCGGCGGTTTTGGAAGAGTTTTTTCAACTCGTCAATGCGCTACAAAGCTTTGGTTAAGCTGATGCTCTTGAGAACGGAACTTCAATATGTTATTATAGTATTTCAGGTATATTGTAGGTTTTATCATCAAATCAAATCAAAATTTTTATAAATGCAAGTTTCAGTTTTAATTACTATATATTCGTTTCAGGCTAATTTTAATTTTTGAAACTTTCGTAAAAAATGTATACATATATTGGGCTAACTTGTCGAGTCGTTTATGTGAATTACGTATGGTGTGTTTATGTGTGCTAATGATGTCCTCTGTTAATTAACACCAATCTCTAGCTTTCAGCAAATCTAAATGCCGAGCAAGTGTAGCGCACGTCGACATATTCACTTGTTAGGAGCGGGGCAATAAACTTTTGTGTGGGCGCATTTAAGAGAAGTCGGTATTCGTGAACTTGAAAGCATATGTAATAAGAGCTGAGCTGGGCTAAGCAAAGAGCAACGCCAGCATATACATGTGCTTTGGATAGCTTATAAGCTCTACAAGCTTGCCACATGCTTTAAAGCTCAGCACAGTGTCGAAAACGCTTACATATCAAATTAAAACTTTTGATAAAAGCTTTAAAAGTTTTAAATGGTTTGAATGCAGTCTAAAATGCTCAAGTTTAAACTTTAAAAGTATTTAACAAATACGAAGACAACTATAATTTTAAGTTAATGTATTTTTCTAATATTTCTATAGTTTAAGGCTAATTACGTCTTATTTGGCTAATAACTCGAAGGCCTATATTCATAGGCAGGCCCCACTCGAATCGATATATTAATGGGCTCATTCAAATAGTCCTTGATGCGTCTAAAATAAAACGTTTTATTCAATATATGTTTACACACCTTCAGGTAAACAAAATCTATTGGCTTATCTAACTTTTTTGTTGGCCAATACACTTACCGTTTATCTGCCTCGCTCTCGTAGTGCTGATAGCCCTTCCGTTTAGCCGATTTATTCAGTCGCAACGATCGGCGCAGCTCTTTGGGCAGCGGCTTATTCGTCTCCCGCCTCAGAAAATCCCCCAGCTGCTGGCATCTGGCAGCGAGCGTCTGCCAGGCCAGACGCAGCAGCCGCCGATGTCTGGGTCCTGTGGCGCCACCGGCATTCGGTGTGGCGTCATAGAGGTTTGTATTGGAGACTGCCCACGCTGACATGTTGAGCTGCCTGTGTGCAGACAAAGACTGAAAACTGAAACTGCCAAGACAACTGTCCAGTCGTTTAGCTGATAAGATTTGCTTAACTCTCTGCGATGCCAACGGCATGCAATACTAATTGAGTCGAATCGAAGTTGATACACAATACCAATACGCTGGACAACAACAAGGCGGATATTCGCCATATCAATTGCTAGTTAACTGGTTCATAACCATATTACAATTGAGTTGAAAATTTGACTATATTTGCCGTTGCAAAAGAACCAGAAATTCAATAATTTTCTGTCGGAATTGCTGCCTATGGAAAGAGCAAAAACGTTTTCTGTGTTTGGGCCTGAAGCAAGGACTAATGCTGGTCCTGGTATTGGCCCTGGGACCGGGCACAGCTAAACCCCGAAACCCAAATGTGCAGTTATGAATTTTTCGCATAGACAATTTTCAATATTATTTTCCATCCTGCAGACAGCTCGTTTTGCTCATTTATATACCGCCCACCCTCTCTCCATGGGGTTGGAGCTATGTCCAATGACATGTCCTGTAACAAAATACAAATAGCAGCGCCTGCCCGGCTTCCATGTGGCCAACACCTCTGCCCGCTGTGCTGCACCGCTCTCTGTGGCAATTGCTCTGCGCCCCGGCTGCAGCACGCCTCAGAATCTTGCCACATGCCACCAATTGTGCCTGCAACAGACGTCCACACAAAATTGCATGTGGTTCCACGCAGTTTGCCTACACTGGAGCCCGGTGTGACTGGGTTTTTGGCCAGCTTTCGTTGTTAAAAGCGAAAATTCGTTTATTATCATATTTTTGGCACGGATTCGAATTTGTCCTCAAAACGCACGCACTTTTGCAGCAGGCCTCTTGCCTACCTCAATTAGACGCAATAATGAGAATCACATAGAGCAGTTGTTCCACTGTACTACTTAAAGTCATTCGGGTGTTAAATTGGGTATAACGTTTAAATATATACTTATATGTATGTTTTTTTTTTAACGCGAATCCCGATGCATCGTACTATATCCCACCCCCCGCCCAACCGACCGAGGGGCGTACTTATGTTGCGTACGCACGAAATGCAAAGTGAATAAAAAAAAATAAAAAAAACGATACAAACTATGAGTATGTGTACAAATACAATTACAAATATAAATAAGACTATCTACTTGCTAAATAGTTTAGAATAGAGATTGAGAAGACTGCGAGCAGAATACTCTGTAATGTTATAGTCATCACAGGGAACCCTGAACGGTTCATGCAAAGCATAATTAGTTGAGCAAAATTACAGCGATATTGGTACAAAATTACGTTTTAGTTTAGTAGGGATAGAGAAATTTAATTGGCTAGTCAACACGGAAGAGTCAATTTCACCAGTTATTAAGTTATGAATAAATATTACGACCAACATGGTAATTCATTAGAAGTCTGCTGGAGTATGACGGTAACAGCACACGAGGATTCAAATTTAAGCCACTAAGGGCAAACAACAAGAATTATTTCTGAACAGATTCAATTCTGTCCTGATGGATAGCATATTGTGGGGACCAGATACATGAGGCGTACTTAAGAATAGGACGTACCAAAGATATGTAAAGTATTTTGTCGTCGAAACACGATCTGGCCTTATTGACCACGGTCTTAACATGAGAGTCGAATTTTTATTTATTTTATTAACTTCATTAAAAGTACTGTAAGCACGCTTGAGCAGTAAGCTATCAAGGCTGTAAGAAACCAATTGAAGAAGGCTTCTATAAAAGGTTATTACCTTACATTTAGAAAAGCATCAATGTCAGCTTTTAAGATTTGACATGATGTCATATCATTATATGCAAGGCATAATTTAACATCATCAGCACACATTAATACTCGAGAGTGAGACCTTCGAGGTAAGGTCATTAAAGAAAAGATTAAAGTACCCAGATGACTACCGTAAGGAACACCGGAAGTCACCAGAGTACGTTTAGAAAACGAATTTCTGAAAATAACCTTTTGGGTTCAATCACGCAAATACTCTGAAATCAAGTTCAAAGGATTGACTGGCAAGCCGCAAATACACAATTTAATTTAATATAAAGATACACAATATTCAAGATCACGATATGTGACATAATCAAACTCTAGTATTGTTTTATCAAACGAAATGACATTATTACTCACTCTTAGAACATCGACAAGGGAATCTACGAATTCATTCTGTCGAGAAAAAGTGTTTGTTACAACATTTAGAAGTCATGTTGCGGTTAACTTACATAATTAATCAAATTTCTCTGTAAAGACTTTCTGGTCAAACAGAGAACTGTGACTTAGTGTCATCAAATTTTCTCACATCAATTTTCAGTATCTCAGCCGAAGTTTTCTTTATGTTAGAATCAACGTATTTTACAAATCGAATAAGCTTACATTTGTTAAGGGGCTTAAATATTTGTATGGAAATATAAAATATTATAATGAATAGACAGCACTGATGTCAGATTTGGATTTCCATTGTAGACCATCAGTTCGTTGTAAATAGAGTTTTATATAAATGGAATGTACTGCTTATTATACAGTATTAAAAGTGTTTTTTTTATTTATTTTTTATTGTATATAATTAATATTAAATATGTAACAACTCTCGCCTTGAGAATCGCATAGAGAGGCACTTGCAACGGTAAATATGTATGTGAATCTCTGCAAATGACAAAATTATTCGCCTGACTTGACACCCCATCCACCCACTCGTATCTTATAAAGTCAATTGATTGTTTTTGCTGTCTGCTGAAATCTGTTGGCTCCTAGCTACGTTTTTAATATGAAGGTGACATCAGACTGCAAGGGGCAAGGTGGCAAACAATCGTATACACACGTGCACGCGCAACACACACACACACACACACACACACCGACATACACAAAGAGAGAAAGCTATCGTTAGCTGCAGAGAAATGCATTTAAAATTCCATTTAAATACCAAATAGCAATAACGAAATGAAAATCTTTTGTGAAGCAGTAAGAATGAGCTGCTTGCGTGATTAAGACTAAAGGCTACCCTGCAAACAGATGAATTCTTGTGTATCTCCTTAAAAGCAATCCACTCATGCTATTTTTCAATTCTCAGCCATTTACCAATACTTTGTCTCTAGAGGCTTGGCAATTGATGCTGACCCGGAATTTTTACAAAATATGCTATATGCAGGGTATACAGGGTACAGGATACAGGTTATACAGCTACGCCCTCAATAACATCCATTGACTGTTGCCTTGATAGTCAACCAATATGTAAAAAAAGTAAATAGCATACTAATTCACTTACTCCTATTTCTGTGAAACTTTCTTGGTTGCATTTCATTTAATTTTTAATATTATTCGTATTCGAATTTTAACTTTTGATAGTTTCGGATTTGTTAGGCTGTTGACACTACAGAAATTTATGCGTCATACGCCTTTTTGGATTTTACTTAAAATTTGTTTGGCCAGCTTCTCGACTCCTTTTCTGCTTTGCATATTTTCCGGCCAGGTGCAGTGTGTGAGAGGCAGATATAAAAATATTGTTATTTACCGCTGTGCAATAAAGTGCCGTAAAATATTTGTATCTTCTGAACACATCAATTAATTTGTTATTAGTCGACTTCACTACGGCTTGTAATCGAATCTCAGTGCTATTTGCAATGCCAGGCAAAAATTTGTGGCAACTGCAAAATAAGTTTTCGTGGGGTAAAGTGGTTGGGTAGCGGGTAGCAGGGAGGTAATGTAACAGTTGACTGGAAAATTAAATGCGCCAGCCTGTTGCCAAGCTAATGTCAATGTGCACCGCTATCTGTTAAATTAGACAAAATGCTGAGGGTGTGAAAAAAGCTGCAAATATATATAAAGGAAACTTCAAGGATTCGCTGCACGTTCTCATCTTTAACGCCATATGTTGACTTCTGCTAACACACGCACACACAGGCCTGCATATTTCCTTTATCTTATATGCGCTATTTTATGCCTGTTGGCAACAACTACAACAACGATAACGCCTGCCGTTGGCCTAGTCTTTCTTCCATTCACTTTTGATACCCTTTGCGTGGATATTACCTCCTTGTTACAAATTGTGTAACCCATTTAAAGGTGCATAGTCCTTCATACACTCCATAAACTTCTTTAAGTTCGACCTGTATAAGCAGCTTAATTCATATATGATAAATTATATATATTTATATCGCTCTATTAATTTAATTTTAATATATTTTCTACTGCAAACTACAACTTTGTATTCAAGAACTGAATGCCCCTAAATGTTTGACTAAAACTTATCTCCAACAGACCAATTTATTATTCAGTTTCCATAGGAACGATTGTTCAAAAATGTAGTTTTTATAAGAACAACCTTTTGTCCTTGCAGATATCCTAGACAAATTCAGCAAGAAATTAATTAAATTTATAACTAGAAGGCCACAACTTTTTTACATTAGTCATCTTCATCGTATATCACCCATAGGAATGATCAAGTGTATCGTAACAGCTAAATGCCTGCAAGGGTATTTAGTTCTCG